GAGCCTCTCCTTGAGGTTGAAGAACCATGTGACTTTTGATTTAGTCTTTATATTTGTGCCAATATCACTACGTTACAAAAAATGTCACTAAACAAATGTTCCAGGCACTTTATAAACACTTTGTTACTGGTTTGCATTGAACTCCACTTTGATTTATGTTTTGAGATTAGTGCCAAAACCACCACCCCAAGAACAATGTGACTAAATGAACTTTCCAAGCATGTTATAAATACATAGTTACTGGATGTGTTTGCATCATTACCTCAAACTGAAATGTTTCTATACAAATGTTTTTTTTGCAGTTTGTTAGTTTTTCCCTTTTTTTAAAAAATAAATTTCCCTTTTTTAATAGAATAGAATAGAATGCCTTTATTGTCACTATGCACATGTACAATGAGATTAAGAGCAGCTCCTTCAGTGCAATATAGAAGAATAGAATAGAATAGAATGCCTTTATTGTCACTATGCACATGTACAATGAGATTAAGAGCAGCTCCTTCAGTGCAATATAGAATAAAGAACAAAATAAAGAGCCAAAAATAAAAAATAGAAGAGATTTAAATATAAAATAAGATAAGTTATATATACAGTATAAGTTAGTTTAACCGTAGACGAACAATTTACCACATACGGTAACTTTATTAATCTTGATTCGGGGCATTTTTTTAAGTCACAAAAGTAAAAAAAAAATCTTGAAATATCCTTGAATATCACCCTATAGGGTTGAATTTTTCATTTTCCAAGTATTTCAAGGAGTGCCCTATAAAGCGTTAACTCCTCTTTGAAGCAATTTAAGGTCCAATAAATTGTGTTTTCATGCTGCACCTGCCATTTCTACTCCTTCTGCATTTTAGCATTTGCAAAATCCTCTTTGCTTCAGCTACCTCCAAGTAGCAACCTACCTGCTAAAATGACAAACTTTCAAGCGTTGGATCGTGCAATTAGGCAGCTCTGCTTGTTTTTTTTTTTTTGTGAAATATCCATTTAATTGGCAGTGCTATGTCCTCTATATGCAACAACTCCTCTGTAACTATTTCACAGGGACACTGTTGCTGCATCCTGGGCTTAGCATCGCGAAAGTCAGTTGTGATTGGTTAAAAGAGATGCAAATATGGCAGAATGATAAAGGAGATACAATGGTCTGGCAGCACCTCATTATGCCAAACGTCTGGATAATCCAAGCATAAAAGAGTTCACAGATCTGTGTCAATATGAGGAGTAAAGAAGGGGCCGTGCAGCGAGGAAGAGAATGAGGCTAAAAAACAGCCAAATCAGAGCGATAACAAAGAATGCCGGTTTGCCAAATTCATCTGGGTTCATTCCAACACAGCAGGTGTGCACAAGGCAAATTGGAAAATGGCAGCCAACCCGACCTGGTATTTACACAGTGAAGAGAATCACCTTCATGTCTGCGCAGCATGTCAAGAACGCTCTCTGGGATGTAGCTGCACATGTTTCCTCGTCGAGCATCAAGAGGAGGCTTCGTGGTCGTAACCTGAGAGGATTCACCACAAGATGCAAAAACAAAAAAAAACAAACCCCGTTGTGCCTCAGAAACAGAAAGGCCAGATTGCTGAGCGAACAAACACGCAGAAAGAAACCGGTAGAGCTCTGGAACTAAGTTCTGTTGAAATGAAGACAAAAGTGTGGGAGAGAAAACAGGAAGAAGCCATGACCCAAAGCCCACAGCCTCATCTGTTAGACAGGTGATGCTGCCTTGAGCAGGCTTGTGTGGATGCAACAGGATTGTTAAATCAGCCTCATCGAGCGCTGCACTAAACTATCAGTTCGGAACTTTGATTAATAATCAAATTAGCAGCGACAACCTAGATTACCATATCAATAGCTGGTAAAAGTTCAAGCGTGTTGGTGTTCTGATCAGTAGCGGGTGGCACTATTCAGTCTAGTGCAACACTAAACAGAGGAGCCTGACTGAAGCATCGATGGTGAGCAAGTGTGCATGTTGGAGTTTGGACCAGGAAGAATGTGTTTGTTATGTGTTCTTTGCCTCGATCTGCACGTTCATAGACTTTGAGGTACGTTCCCACTAAGTCTGTGAGGGTTCTGATGCAGGCAAACTGTCTCTGAGTTTTCATATGTGCAGGCTCATCCATTGTGACATTAGTGGCGTATAAACATGAGATGTGTCAGAAAAGTTCCAGGACTGGTGTCACAAAAGATGTATTTCAAATACAAACTACAAGTTTTCCCCTTTGAAGTAATCTTCCTGGAGTCTAACACACTTCCCCAGCCTTCTCCATGCACTCCTGGAAGGATTCTTCCGGGATCCTCTGCAGCTCCGTCATCACAGCCATCTTGACTTTGTCCACATCTTCAACATGGGTCCCCTTGATGACCCCCTTGAGCTTGGGGAAGAGGAAACAATCCCACGTAGCCAGGTGGGCTGAGTAGGGAGGATGCTCCAGCACAGAGATGTTCTTCTCAACCAGGAACTGTCAGATGCTCAGGGCATTGTGAGCAGGTTGTCATGATGAAGCAGCCACGAGTGGTCCTGCCACAACTCTCACCTCTTCTGAATGAAGCAAACACCACAGGATCTCTGTAGACTTACTGGTTGATCATCTGAAGGGGAAACCTCGTAGTTTGTGGTTTGAAATACATCTTTCGTGACACCAGTCCTGGAACTTTTCTGACACACCTCAAATGTGCACAAGCCAAAAATGGATGGTGCAAGAAAGAATCTGCAAGGAGGTTCATCTTTAGCTTATCAAACCTACATGTAGGATTTAGAGATGTTTATGGGGTTTTTTTGAGTTTCAGTAATTTGCCAAACTTGATGCATGAGTGCTGCCATGATGCCCTAAACCTTCTTTTTAATACAACGTCCAGCCCTTCTAGACTCACACACAGGCGAGGCCAGTTACATCTGTGAGGGTCTAGTCTGACTCTCCAGATGTTGACTGTGGGTATAAGACTGCTGTTAGCCCGTCACAACAACAATCGCTGGGCTAGCAACCTCCCACACTTTCAGTTTTTGTATATGATTTTGATCATGACCATGACCACAGGTGAGGGTAATGACCGAAAGAACGAGATCGCAGATACAAGCGGCCGAAATGAGTTTCCTCCTCAGGGTGGCTGGGCGCTCCCTTAGAGATAGGGTGAGGAGCTCAGTCACACAGGAGGAGCTCGGAGTAGAGCCGCTGCTCCTCCACATTGAAAGGAGCCAGTTGAGGTGGCTCGGGCATCTTTTCCGGATGCCTCCTGGACGCCTCCCTGGGGAGGTGTTCCAGGCGCGTCCCACCAGGAGGAGACCTCGGGGAAGACCCAGGACACGCTGGAGGGACTATGTCTCCCCAGTTGGCCTGGGAGCGCCTAGGGGTTCCCCCAGAAGAGCTGGAGGAGGTGTGTGCGGATCGGGAAGTCTGGGCGGCTTTGCGAAGGCTGCTGCCTCCGCGACCCGACTCCGGATAAGCGGGAGAAGATGGATGGATGGATGGATTTTGATCATAAGGATTCCCTGCTAGATTTTTTTTTCAGTGGATTATCTATTTTTAGTTTCCTTGTCACTCACATTTTGCAGGGCCACCATCACTACATTCTGGGATTAGCCCCGAGGAAGACAGTTGCGATTCATTTAAAGACATGCAAACACGTTCTTTCCCCCGATATCAAACCAGTAACGAGGTGCAGTCAGACCATTCTGTAGAGAGTCTAGTAATTAGATTGAGATTCATGCGTTCTACAAGAATGAACAAGCTAAATTTTACTGTATCAGGTTGTCTCTTCCTTTACCTCTAAAAGCGAGGCCTTAAAAAATGAAACCTTTACTGGATGCATTAAAGTCATTTCAGTGTTTTCAGGCCTTAATTGAAAGCATTTAACACCGCTGAAAAGGTCAGCGTTTATGGGTTTGTTTCACTGGCTGGCAGTATAGTTTTCTTATTATCATGAATATCCATCCGCTCTAATGCATCGCGGCGCTATATTGGATTTTGTTTCCTTCCTGTCCGGCTACGACGGCGTTTCACTGGCGTTTTTAAAAAATTAATAGACATGTAAACTTGGGTGTGTGTCCTTTTAGAGCAAGGTCTTCTGTCTCTGCTCGTTTAATGGAAAGAAATCCACCGAAGAGCACACAAACAAACCAATTTCTACCCTGACAGTGGCTTCAATAAACCAGCAGGGAACGCAATGGCCAAAAAAAAAATAAAGTGTTTTGAGTAATTGCCTTACTTTTTCTTGATAAATAAAATCTTTCTGTTGCAATATGCCCATTACTATCTCTGCGTGGCCTGCAGCCGCACAGATTGAAAGGCGTTTAGGGGAAAATTCACTAAATCACATCCTGCAGGACAAGCTGATGCGTGCTTAGGAAGACAAGAAAACGTAAATTGCAACTCTTGGCATCGTGAAATTATGGAATTCGGTGACATTCGCAGATTGATTGATGGTACGGCAGAGGTTGAGGTTCTTTTTCTGTTTTGTTTTGTTTTTAGCACTTTCCAGGAAGCCGATGTGAAAGCAGTGTTTTGCATATCGCCGTTGAAATTGTGTTTGATGTTTGTCGAAAATGTTCTAATCGAGGCAAAGGAAAGCAGTTTTTTTTCCCTTTCAGAAAAGCTGATTATTGTCGAAAATCAAAGGTTATGCAAACTAAGAGAGCATTGTGACGCTTTGTAGCGCCTCACATTAGACGTTTAGAGATCCATCTGTGCCGTTCCTGTCTGTCTTTCTGTGATGTTGACCGGCCGAGGGTCACACCGGAGGGCCTCCCCCCCCCCTCCTCACCAGAATTTCATTACAGCCGCAGTAGGAAGCCACAGTGTATATGCACAACAAACTGATTGAACCTCCTCTGCTTCCTCCCCTCCTCTCCCTGACGTTTGATGTCTCTTTCCTTTCACCACCCTCTTTATGTTTTCATCTCTCTCCCTCCTCTGTTACTTTTCCTCCTCCTCCTCTTCACCCCTTTTTTTTTTTATCCTGTCTGAATTTCTAACATCTTTTTCATTCCTCTTATCCTTTGCCTCCACCAGCCAAACCCAAGAACTCGGCCAACGTTGTGACCGTCCAGGCTGGCACCAAATCCACGGTGGTGGCCCGGTGCGAGGCGGCCGACGGCAAACCGGCGGCGACCATCAAGTGGCTGGCGTCGGCCGGAGGCAATCACTCGACCAGCACCACCAACGGGCCAGATGGCACGGTGACGGTACGCAGCGAGTATCGGCTGGTGCCCACGCCGGCGGATAACGGCAGGGAGGTGACCTGCATGGTGGAGCAGAGAATACAGGAGCGGCCGTGGGTTTATCCCGTCAAGCTGTCCGTGGAGTGTAAGGAAGACACACACACACATGCACACACACTCTTGATTAACTCTGTTTGTTGTTCCCAAATAATGTCCTCTTGAAGAAAATGATAAACGATGCACAGCCGCAGGGAGACTTTTTTTTTTAATGAACACGGGACCAAGTTAGGATATAAATCACTTGGCTGGATCTAAGAGTGCTCAGACACGGATCAGTACCTTGCACAGAACCCTTAGCCCTTTGCTTTATAGTCACCTGCAGCTGCTCCAACACTAATCAAAGCGTGTTGCTCAGTGTTTCTATAATGCGCGGCCGTGTAAAGCCTCATGTACAAACAGCACAGCGGACCTGCAGAATACGTGACCATTTTTTAACGAGTTTATGATGTAAACAATGTAGAACGAGGTCTCTTTCCCAGAAGTTGTGTACGGTACACAAAACAAGTGTAATATCGCCCAAATGTCAAATTAATTCAAATTTTATCACTCAGTTATTACTTCTAAGTTAAACTGTAGGCAGCTGTTGTGTAAAATCACAAAATTTACAATCTAGATTCATTATATTTAAAATACAGGCAACATAGTAGGAAGTAGGTGCAGCGTCATCACTGAGATTAACATCTTATTTATTCAATACTTCACATGTCAACCTTTTGTCATGTCAACCAGTGTTTCACAAATTTCTGGAAACATGTTCTACTGTTTTCCAGGCTTTTTTTTTTTTTTTTTTAAATCTATTCGTTGCTGGAGGGATTGTGTTGCTCTGTCTTTCCCATTTACCGTAATTTCCAGATTATTGCGCCCACCTGAATATAAGCCGCACCCACTAACTGTAAAAAGAAAACTAGTTTTGTACGTATACAGGCTGCACTTGTCTATAAGCTGCAGGTGTCCACGTTGGAACATGAGATATTTACACAGAAAGATTTAAAAACTTTTAATTAAGTCCCGGTAACATACACAAATATAAATATAAATGCTTTTTTCTGAACAGCGCCTGTAACACGGCTGGTTAAGAAAATAAAAACTACAGAAGCCTAACAGGAAAAGTCATTGATCGCTATCTTCATCTTCCTCCTGCACTAAAAGTCGTCTTCTCAGAATTACTCAGAATCACTTCATCACTTCCTCAGTCTCTCTCTGTCGTTGTCGCTCTCAACGTCACTTTGGTCTCGAGACAAATTCGTAAAATCCATAACTTAGCCGCATCATTGTTTAAGCCTCAGAGTTCAAAGCGTGTGAAAAAAGTAGCGAGTTATAGTCCAGAATTTACGGTACGTTGTAAATGTGGCTCCGGTTGGACAACAGCTTTAAAATTGTAATTCCACCGTTACCATCCGTCTTTACTTCCATTAACACTGAGCACGTGTGACGTCGTCGTGTCCTCTTCTGTGCATGCGGGACACTTTTGGGTCGTATGAAGTTCACACAGCAGATCACATACAAGTCGTGTTTAATTGGAAATGTGAACAAACTCACAAAAAAATCTGACTTGAGCATTAAGTCCTGCAGTCTGACGTAGCCTTGGTTTTGTTTGTTGCACTGAGTTTCTACTTTGGGGCCTGTGTTTTCATTATAGCCTGTCGAAAGTTACTCACTTCTGCTGGATGTTGTGTTCAGATCATCCTACATTCTTGGATCAGGTTGAGAGGCTTAAACCAGCTCTGACTTTGTTAAAGTTGTTTTAAATTATCTTCATCACATGACCCCAGATTTACCAGACTGTTAGCGAACACAGCAGCGTAATGCTAACACACATTTACTAAACAAATGACCCGACGTCCTTTACTTTTGTTATGAGAGTCTCTCCATGTTCAGCTTTGCCTCGTAGTCCTGATCAACCGTACAGCAGCAGAACTCTGTGCACTATTAACTGTAGCATCCTTAAGGCTCTTTATGTTCGCCGCAGTTTCTCTTTAGCTGCTAATTTCTAAGCAGATTGTGACAAATGCATCCACCCAGACTTGTATAATTGCCTACAATATGAGGACAGATAAAGCAGATGCTTCTAGTCGCTCCAAATGTTAAACCGGATCCCCGAACTTCAAAATGACTTTTTCATCTTTGTTTTTTTTTTTTGTTCTTCTTCCAGGACTTTGGGCTCTCAGGAGTCTAGAAAATCACATGTTTATACACAAATGCGCGCACACACACATTAGGTTTTTATTTAATCCATTAAATTCCGTTCTAATTAGCATGGGATTAAAATATTACACAGGTTCAGCGTGGCTTTAAGGAGATTTAGGGCTGCTGACAGCATCGTCTCAACTGTGTGACCTTGCTGCCGTTTACTGCAAAGATGGAACAGATTGTCTTTGTTCACCCTCCTTCTTCTTCTTCTTCTTATAATCTCCGGTTTCTAGATGCATACACACAAGCATCGATGACACACAATCAAACTGTCTGGCTGTCAAGCTGTTGGAAGAAATAACGAGGATATGTATAAGGAACCGCAATGCCTGCCCATCAAGCTGTCAAATTAGCGGCTTTTAAGAGACAAACTGTACAAGTCAGTACGTAGATTCAGCAGCGACATGCGTGCCTTATTTATTTATGTGTATATGTGTGTGTGTGTGTGTGACATAGAGCATGGACAGACAACCGTGAATACACAAACACATGATCATTTCTCGGATCGTATGCGAACCCCGATTCAAACCAGCCGCTCGTCGAATCGAGGACGACCTAGAATGAGCTGGAAACTGGTGCTCACAAAGATGGAAGAACCGCCGCAAACACACACACACACACACACACACACACACATGAACACACACATGAACACACACTAGCCGTGACTCCTCGCTGTGTGTATGTGTTGGTTTAGCGATGGTGTGAGGGATCGCGTCTCCTGTCTCAGATCAGCTTTTATAGGTCAGCGCTCTCTAGGAGGAACACACACATTACACAACACACACACATTACACAACACACACACTTACCCTCCCGCTTCGTCTTCATCAGACAAACCGGCCTCTTCCTCACACTCTCTGTCTCTGTGTGTTTAGATGTTATTGTTTTTAAATATGGGAAACATGAAGAGAGAAACAGAACAAGCCACTTAGCCTTTCTGCTTCTTTTAACTTCCTCCACACACTTTGGTTCGTTTTAACAAGATTATTTTTAACAGTGTCTCTTCCTTCTGCTGTTGGGATCCCTTGATTTTAGGCCAGAACTGCTTTAACCCTCAGAACTCCCAAGAAGCTTCTGGGCTTTTTTTTTTTTTTTTTTTCACTGTGGGCTCATTTCTCACTTCAATATAAAATCCTTCACCCCTATAGAAACAGAACAACCAGGACTAGAAGGAAAGAGAATTCAAGTGTTTCCTGTGAGGTATGATACAGTTATGATGCCATAAATTATTTTTTAAAAAACGGGGAAAAAAAAGAAAAAGTTGAATTTGTTTGATTATTTATTTTATAATAATTTTTAAAAAATCTGAAACAACATGTACAAAGTTTTTCCAAGTGCCCACAAATATTACCAGTACTAGAAAAATTCTGGCTCTACATACTGTAGATATTTTTCTTCTTACAAATTTCTATACTTCTGTTCTCTGCAAACACGTCCTGCAGTTCGGATTTTTCCAGAAGTTCCAGATTTTTTGTCACACGATTATTCATCACAGCAAAGTCAGTCGTGGTTTTTTAGCTGTGTCATGAAATTTAGATTTTTGGTTTTTTTAGCAGTTTTTTTTTTTTTTTTTTTAATCAGATTTTTTTGGATGTGTATAACTTTCTGTACAGGCGTCTGCTGGTTACTGTATGTGTGTTTTGTTTTTCTAAACTAAAAACCAGATTTTTTTTTTTTTTTTTTAATCAGATTTTTTTTTTTTAATGAATAAATAGATAAAATATGAGACAGAAAATACAATTATTTTGATGAAAAATCTAAAAAATAAAAAAAATTTAATATTTAGTTTTTAGCAGTTTATTTGTTTAATCTTATTTTCAAAATAAAATATGAGACAAAAAATAAAATGATTTTGATGAAAAATCTAAAAAAAAAAATGGGGGGAATTTCTATTTTTTATCAGATTTTTTTTTTTTTAAATGAGAGAAAATAAAAAGATTTTGATAAAAAGTCACTTTTTTTCTTTTTAGAATTTTTCGTTTTTTTTGCAAATTATTTTTTATCTGATTTTCAAAAATAAGAGAGAGACACAAAATAAAATGATTTTGATGAAAAATCACATTTTAAAATTTTATTTAGATTTTAGCAGTTTATTTTTTGTCTGATTTTTTAAAAATGAGACAGAAAATAAAATGATTTTGATGAATTATCACAGTTTTAGGTTACGATCTGGTTGGTTTTAAAGATGAAAACGAGGGTCACAAATAATTACTTCAGAGATCATCGCACAGCTGACCATTTGTAGAATTTTTTTCCCTGTTTTCACAGTTTCATGCTCTGATAAATGGTGTAATTTTAGCATGTTTTAGACAAAATATCATCTCTGTCAATGCCTCCAGCGGGTCCTGCAGTTTGGAGGGTTAAGGTTTTCCTTTTCACATCTTTGGCATCAACACCGATGCTTTAAGCACCGTCAGGCACTTTTTTATTATTATCTATTTTTTTTTTTTTTATCTTGCACTGAGGTTCATTTCACTGTAGTTGTGTGATGCAACACGCTGACACAGATGGAAATCAAAACTCTCAAAATGCCAGGAGTTCATCAGGCCATTCAGCCGCTCGGCTCTTATCAAGTTTTCAGTCTGACACATGTTAAAGAAATTACACAGCATGCCTGTCTGATAAAAATGCCAGAGCCTCTGTGCAGAACTGGACTTGATTCCTGGTGTTTCGGCCTCTTAGCATGCTCGTGAATTGGGCCGAGTCATTTTGAATTCCAGTATTTAGAAAGTTTTTCTGCAGAAGTAACGCCGTTTGGACGGACGGGAAATGAGACACGCACTAAAAAGTTCCCATAAAATATCAAATGCAGATTATGTGACGCCAACAAAATGCAACGAGAGACGTTCTTCAAAGAGCCTTTAAGTGAGAACCCAAAGAAATCCAATCACG